CCAGGCCTCTCTATATACACAGTGAGAGCCAGAGACACTGACTGGAACCAGAATGCCCGTGTTTCTTACATCCTGGAGGACTCCTCTGTTAACGGAGTGCCAGTCTCCTCATATGTGTCCATTAGTGCTGATGGTGGAGTCATCAATGCAGTGCGCTCTTTTGACTACGAGCAGATCAAAGACTTCCACTTCCGGGTCAAAGCTCAGGATGGAGGCTCTCCTCCACTGAGTAGCAATGTGACTGTGAAAATACTGATCCAGGACCAGAACGACAACCCTCCTCAGGTGCTGTACCCAGTCCAGACTGGTGGCTCTCTGGTGGCTGAGATGGTGCCTCGTTCAGCAGATGTGGGCTATCTGGTCACTAAAGTGGTGGCTGTTGATGTGGACTCTGGACAGAATGCCTGGCTCTCCTATAAACTGCAGAAAGCCACAGACAGGGCGCTGTTTGAAGTGGGCTTACAGAATGGAGAAATAAGGACTATCCGCCAGGTGACTGATAAAGATGCTGTGAAACAAAGACTGTCTGTTATAGTGGAGGACAACGGGCAGCCCTCTCGTTCAGCTACAGTCATTGTTAACGTGGTGGTGGCTGACAGCTTCCCGGAAGTGCTGTCTGAGTTCACTGACTTTACACAGGACAAGGAGTACAATGACAACCTGACTTTTTACTTAGTGCTGGCTCTGGCTGTAGTGTCCTTCCTCTTCATCACGTGTTTAGTGGTTATTATATCAGTGAAGATCTACAGGTGGAGACAGTCTCGCATCATGTTTCACTCCAATCTCCCTGTGATTCCTTATTATCCTCCACGTTACTCAGACACTTTGGGGACAGGGACTCTCCAACACGTGTACAACTACGAGGTGTGCAGGACGACTGACTCCAGAAAGAGTGACTGTAAGTCCGGCGGAGCCGGTAGTCAGAACGTGCTGATAATGGACCCCAGTTCTACAGGGACGATGCAGCGGATGCAGAGTGAAAAGAGCATCCTGGATGAACCTGACTCTCCTCTAGAGGTGAGGTGCAATTTGCAAAGTATTTACTTCTTGAATATTGTTTCTTCGGATGAATAGTATTTGGTTACAGTTTATTTCTGAGAACAAGTGCAAGCGGTCAGTTTCATCACCATATGATGGACAGCTCCTCTTTTAGTGAAAAAGCTTTCTGTTCCGAAGACCTTCAACTTCCTTAAATGTCACCTTTTATTCGAATCAATTGCCTATTATAATAACAATAATAATAATAATAACAACAACAACAACAACAACAACAATAATAATAATAATAATACAAATAATAATAATAACAGCAACATTGGGAACGTCTCTCAGCATTTCCAAAAATAAATTGCCCTTACCAGTTAGGTTGTTGGAATTATCATTTGTTGTGTTGTTGTTATTAATATGTTTGTGTTATTGAGGTCTAAAGTCAGAAGCCATCCCATTATACATCGATATGCATCCAAAAGCTTGTATTATAATATTAAAACTGTTCATAATATTTAAACCACCACAAACATTACCGTGGACGGGCTCTGAGCGCCGCTGTTGACACGTCACTGACTTACTGTCCAAATAAGCAGTGCAGTGGTCCACCCCTTTATCTCCATTCAGTGTTTTGCTGCTTAGAGAGAAGACAGTGTGTCCTGTGAGGATTTAAAGAGCAGCATTGTTGTCGTGGACTTCTTCTGCTGAAAACAGAGTTACTATTCAATTCATGGATTTATTCATATCAGTTTTGCATTGAAAGGGATTTCGGCGTCTTTACCTCTGGATTTATGATGGCGTGTTTGTGGATACCCGCGCGCAGAGGCCGATGGCAAGCACTGTTTGTGACTCTTTGTCTTTTCGAGCTGAGCTCAGTAGCTGGACAGGCTCGGTACTCCGTACCGGAGGAGCAGGCAGAAGGCTCTTTTGTTGGAAACATCGCTAGAGATTTAGGTTTGGATGTGACGAGGCTCATATCAGGTAAAGCTCGTATTATTACAAAAGGAAGCCGACAGTACGTTGATTTAAACCGAGATAAAGGCAGCCTTGTTATTAAAGAGCGGATCGACCGAGAAGAGCTGTGTGGAAAGACGACGCCCTGTAGCTTCAGTTTCGAGCTCATTTTAGAAAACCCGATCCAGCTTTACCGTGTAACAGTGGAGGTGATAGACATAAATGATAACAGTCCGTCGTTTCCAAAGGGGGAAATACATTTAAATATCGTTGAAAGTGTTACATCGGGGACTCGCTTCTCACTAGAGAGTGCAGACGACCCTGATGTTGGAATTAATGACATTCAAAAATACGTGCTAAAACCTTCAGATAATTTCAAATTGGAAGTGCAGATCCAGCCTGATGGAGGAAAATTCATCGAAATGGTTTTACAAACCCCGTTAGACCGGGAGAAAGAGGAGACTCACGATCTCGTGCTGGTTGCTTCAGATGGAGGGGAGCCGCACAGATCAGGGACAGTGCGCATTCACATCACTGTGCTGGATGCTAACGATAATGCGCCAGTGTGCAGCCAGCCTGTTTATAAAGCAGAAGTCAAGGAAAACTCTCCTACAGGAACAGTGGTTACCTCTGTGAGTGCAATTGATGCAGATAAAGGAGTCAATGGTGAAGTATCTTATTCCATAGCTAATGTTGCCAGAGAGGTGAAAAATATTTTTGAAGTAAACGTCAAAACTGGAGAAATTAAAGTTGCAGGTAATCTGGATTTTGAAAAATCCAAGAGCTTTCAATTAAACGTTAAGGCTAGTGATCACGGGGGACATTCAGATACGTGCAAAGTTGTTATTCAAATAATTGACGAGAATGACAACATCCCTACAATTCAGCTGATGTCATTTTCTAACTCTATATCTGAGGATTCTCCTCCAGGTACAACTATAGCTGTTATGAATGTTGATGATGAAGACTCTGATGGTAACGGTGTTGTAAAATGCTCCATCAACTCTGACATACCTTTCAAAATGGAGTCCTCATTAACAGGATATTACACTATAGTAACTGAAGATTACTTAGACAGAGAAAGTATTCCTGAGTACAATATCACCATCACGGTCTCTGACCAAGGCTCCCCGCCTCTGACCAGCAGTAAAAACATAAATGTAAAAGTTTCTGATGTGAATGACAGCCCACCCAGATTTGGCCAATCAGAATATATTAAGAATATACCAGAGAATAACTCTCCGGGGTTTTCTGTGTTCACTCTGAGTGCTAGTGATTCAGACTGGGGTCAAAACTCTCAAGTTTCTTACTTTCTGGAGGAGAAAGAGATTAATGGGGCAGCTGTGACTTCCTTAGTGTCAGTCAATTCAGAAAATGGTGTCATTCATGCAGTGAGGTCTTTTGATTATGAGCAGATCAAGTGGTTTGAATTTAACGTAACTGCTCGCGATGCTGGATCCCCTCCTCTGAGTTCAGTGGCCACAGTTAAAATACTGATCCAGGACCAGAACGACAACCCTCCTCAGGTCCTGTACCCAGTCCAGACTGGTGGCTCTCTGGTGGCTGAGATGGTGCCTCGTTCAGCAGATGTGGGCTATCTGGTCACTAAAGTGGTGGCTGTTGATGTGGACTCTGGACAGAATGCCTGGCTCTCCTATAAACTGCAGAAAGCCACAGACAGGGCGCTGTTTGAAGTGGGCTTACAGAATGGAGAAATAAGGACTATCCGCCAGGTGACTGATAAAGATGCTGTGAAACAAAGACTGACTGTTATAGTGGAGGACAACGGGCAGCCCTCTCGTTCAGCTACAGTCATTGTTAACGTGGTGGTGGCTGACAGCTTCCCGGAAGTGCTGTCTGAGTTCACTGACTTTACACAGGACAAGGAGTACAATGACAACCTGACTTTTTACTTAGTGCTGGCTCTGGCTGTAGTGTCCTTCCTCTTCATCACGTGTTTAGTGGTTATTATATCAGTGAAGATCTACAGGTGGAGACAGTCTCGCATCATGTGTCACTCCAATCTCCCTGTGATTCCTTATTATCCTCCACGTTACTCAGACACTTTGGGGACAGGGACTCTCCAACACGTGTACAACTACGAGGTGTGCAGGACGACTGACTCCAGAAAGAGTGACTGTAAGTTCGGCGGAGCAGGTAGTCAGAACGTGCTGATAATGGACCCCAGTTCTACAGGGACGATGCAGCGGATACAGAGTGAAAAGAGCATCCTGGATGAACCAGACTCTCCTCTAGAGGTTAGTTAAATAAGTAAGCATATCATCTGTGCTCTTGTATCTCTTTCTGTGCTTAGTTGCAATATTTGGGAACTGAAGCACACCATTTCGCTGTTTTCAGAACCATGGACAGCATCCCACCGCCTGAATACTGACCAGGTTGGATAGGCTGTCATATTATTCCACATGCACCGTATTTTGTCTTCAATTCCTTGTGTGTTTAAGTGAACAGAAAACTCCCTTGAAGCTTCGAGTGCTTAATCACTTTTTTTCATTTATACAGACCTTGCTAATAGCACATAATGTTATAGCTTTCGGTAGAAAAACCTACACTGAAAGAAACGACTTGTAGGATTTACTTGATTAAATCTTAGCAAGTATTTGCGCTTACTTTTTTAAAGTATATTTTACTGCTGTAATAAGATGTACTTATCACCAAATGTAACATTTGTGAAAATATTAAGTAAATCTTACTTAATAATGTAAGTTATACACGTTATATTTATTTGAACTAATTAAGTAAAGTCTAATTATTTTCTTCATGGACAGGAACATCACTGTTATCAAATTATTAAGTAAATATTATATATCTGTAATAGTTACTGTTATGAAGTAAATAAGTAGATTTTATTATATTTTTTCTCTTTAAAATGTTGAATTACTCATTTGTTTCAAGTTATATTACTCACTTTAATTATGTAATTGTTACTCATTACTTGAAAAATGTTACCTAATAAATGTAATAATCTATGCATTTAATATACATTGAGCACAAATCACGCAACTAAAATACAATACAATTCAACTTTATGTTGTCAACAATTCAATCGCTATTAACCGACAACATTAACATTATAATAACTGGATGCAACATTAACATTATAATAACTGGATGCAACATTAACATTATAATAACTGGATGCAACATTAACATTATAATAACATTAACTTATCAAAAAATCTATAAAATAAAAATATCACTGCCACAAGACAAATCTACTCCATCATAGATTTGGAGTGGTGCTTTTTAAACATTCAATACAAACGTTTCTTTACCTAAGGATGGGGAAAAAACAGAATATGAAAAGACGGCAACAACTGTAATCCATGTGAGAGAGAAAGAGAAAGAGGGAGAAACGTTTATACGGAGAAAGAAAAAAATGGCAGAGGGGGGGGACAGAGATTGATACAGCTCCCTGAAACTGAGCAATTGCAACATGGACAGTGGAAGGTACATATGAAGAAGTCAGTTGGGATGTACGATCCAAGATTGTTTTTTGCCATGTCTTTAAGACAGCAGGTTCACCTTCAAAGCTTGTACTTTTAGGGTCCGCTTAATCCAATCCAGTCTGAGAAAAAGTTTCTGGAACACCTCAAAAGTGTAGCGCAGTGTTGAGGGGTATGCCAGGTTTAAGGCATAAATCAGCCCCATAAGCAGCGTGCATGCCTCGGCAGTACTGCCGCATCCTGGCATCATCTCTCTGCCTTCAAGCAGGAGGGCTGCATCCACTGGATCCTCTCCATTGGCACCATGGACAACCAGGATCTTCAGGACGTGTTCAGTTGCATCACTGCGGCTGTCCTCCTGCATACAATTTACAAGAAACATGAAGTGAGAAACATAGAATGCTTGAATCATTCAAAGTGACTTCATGATCAGGGCAGAATGAACACATGTGCTAAAGACCATCATTAACTCTGAGACCCTAGGGCCCTAATCCGGGCCGGCCAATTGTACTGTCTTTCAGAGGCTCTAGAGGGCTCAGTTCTGAAGCTCGAGTAAAGATTAGTGCTGCACGATTCTTGCTCAAATGTGAATCACGATTTTCCTCCATAAGAATTGAGATCACGATTCTCACACGATTCTCATCGTTTCAATGAAAATATTTATTGCACTCTTACTTTTAGACGCCACGTGAGTACAATGAATTTAAACAGACAACATGTGTCTCTCTTGTAACAAAAACATAACTTTGTCTTTAGTCTGTAGTTGCTGAATACTGAACAAACATTACTACATTCAAAATGTGGCACCTGGAGCCAACTATTGTGGCTTTAAACAGACACCATCAACATCAAAGTGCTTGACTTAAATCCAAGTCTCAGTTTCTTGTAGCAAAAACATAGAGTAACTAAAATGAATTTGACAGCCAACTACTGTGGCTTTAAACAAAGTGCTTGACTTAAACTCAAGTCTCTCAAAACACAATACATACAGTAACTAAAATAAAGATATTGCTGCTGGCTGAGTGCTGAACATAAAAAATAGAATTGTTGCAGCTTTATAATAACAAAATGTAAACTTTGCAGTAGCACCTGTCCACAGTGGACACCCAACTACTGTACAACAACATCAACCTGTTTGTTACAGGGAGGAATGCACTTAAGTTACTCTAAATACCTCACCACAGTGCTGAATATAAAAACAAAACAGTCACAGCTTTAGAATAATAATATTAAAAAAAGCCTAGCCGGCTAGCACCCAGTTCAACTACTGCACTTAAAGGTTCTTGTACTGAAAAAAACATAAACTTAAACAAAGTGCTAGACTCCACTGAGTAGTAATGTCACTGAATCAAAAGGATTAACTTAAATACTGCAGTCAGTACTGAATATAAAAACGGAACAGAACATAAAGTTACAGCTTCAGAATAAATGTAAATAAAGCCTAGCTGCCTAGCTACTAGCACAGTCCATCTACTGCACTTTAAGATTCTTGGCTAAGAACACCAACATGTCGACATTCTGAGGTTTCAGGGAGGAACGCTGGCAAGTTACAATGTTCCCCCCTTTTTTTTTCATCGGTGTTGTTGTCATTGTCCTCGACCTCCTCGTCACTCATTTATGTCGTTCTTGTACTACTAGTCGCCCTCGTCACTCTTTGCTAATCAGTGCTAATGCTAACGCTTCTGTAAACATACTGCCGGCTCCTGCCCTCACGTGCTGCAGTCAGTGAGTGTTGCCAGGTATACTTATTATAAGCCACATTGGGCTTATCTTTCTGTAAAGTTGCTTGGTAGTAAGTAATAATGGTTGTTGCGGTTGTGAGCTTGTAGATAGGTTATTTTAAAATAGCCGACCCGACATATATAGGTTTAAAGTCATGTTCTTTTGCGCTTGTTTTCATAGACCTGGTTGCTTATTCCTTCCGCAAAAACTGGCAACCCTAGTGGCTGCAGCGTTAACACTGCATGAGAGGAGGAGAGACAGACAGAACACTACCATTTGCATGCGATCATGGTACTTTAATGTTAAATGTATAGAGTATATTTGCTTTACATCGTTTAAGTATGATTGACATTGCAAGTTGGTATTATTCAGAAGCAAAATAATTTAAAAAAATTAATTAAAAAATCAGCATGACGTCATAGGATCGCCGTCATTTAGAAATGAGATCGCATAGGTGTCTGAATCGAGATCACGATCTTTTTTCGATTAATCGTGCAGCACTAGTAAAGATGATATCATATGAAAACTAGGATCTGAGGAATCCATTGGTGCCTTGTCCAACCATGTCAGCTGGTCAGCAAAGAGGCTAAATAACGTTGCAAAGATAGGCAACATTTTGGTGAGGGGAAAATGACATGACCATATTCAAAGGGCTCATCCCGACCTTTAAGCTCAAGATATCTGAATGAAAAGGTGTTCTCTGGATACCCACGAGTCTCCTCTTTACACACACGGACACTTCATGCTGATCACATGCAGTTTGGGACAAAAAACGTGTTGTATTTGAATATGTTTGCATGCTGGGGTCTTGGAATTGCATGAATTGGATATGTGGATCCAATGAGCCCAATTATATTCATGTGTGATGATGTTAGGCGCCATAGGAGCCATTCCATTGGAGTGAAACCATTTTTTGAACATTGACTTCACAGTATAAAATGAGCTGTTGTGGGTTCTAGGATGGTCACAGCCATAAACTAGAGACGGAGGGCTTTCAGAGGATGTATGGCGTTCCTAGGTTTATTTACAAAAAGGGGGTTTCTGAGCAGTTTCCAGAACAGAAGTGTTCACCATCCAATCGCGGAAAAATGCAATTCTTGCAGACATTTTAAAATAATTCAGATTTTTTTATTCCAAATCACAGCATAATTATTCTATGTCTTGTTGTCCTAATGTGATACTTTGAAGGAATTTTTGACCATATTTGGCAATTTTCGAGTGGTTAATATGCTTACATTTAGCAGCAAATCTGTGTATTAAATGGTATCAACACAAACATTGCTGCAACAAGTTATGGGACGTAATAGAGCAGGATAGCATCTCTCAAATACTTGGACCAATTTTCTGAGCCGTAATACACTGAAAACATTACAATTGAATTAATTTAAATTAATAAACTATGTTTATAATAGATTTGTGACTAGAACAATTTGACCCGGCTTTCAGATGATGTAAACCACTTCTATATGACATAAACTGTTGAGCTGCTATCTCCCTCTAAAGACCTCCTGTTTTAACATTAAAATAAAAAAATCATGCTTTACCAGGCAATCTTCAAAAAGGTCCTGTTGTTTTTCGCCAAGGTAGAGTATGAGGCTGCGGATGACAGAGTCACGCCTCATGTCAATGCTTTGGTTCTGTGAAGAGATTAATATTGTGTCAATACTGAACTAATATTCATACACAATAAGCTTTCAAGGAAGAAAACAAGAGCATACATGTGCGAGGAGGAGTGATTTGAGCAAACTGAGCAAGAGCCATGGAAAGATGGCTCATGCAGGGGCATTTAAACAACCGAGTGTGAGGATGTGTGCTGTATATGTGTAAGCATTGGGCATTGGGTGATGTGTGTGTGAGGTCTGTCTGTCTGTCTTCCTTAAAAAAAATGTGATCATGCACAATTTTGAACAAGCATACCTGACTCAGTTTTTCCAGGAACGGCCTCAGCTTGGTCCCGAGGACTCCTCCCTTGGCCTTCATCAGGGCAATACGTTTTGGTGTGTAGTGGTCGAGTTTGTACATGAAGCTCTGCTCCAGCGAAATTGTAGTTATTCGCCCGAATTCCGCCTTTATCTGAAGTGACAAAGTAATCACAAGCACAACATGAGGAACTGGGCCAATAAGTCTGATACAAAATGAAGGCAGGGTCAATTCTGTATAGGGTGTTATAAATCGTGCAGATATTAATGGTGGAATGAATATATAGCTATTTATAGAATTTTAACTTTGAGAGAATAGTGTTTCAAGTTCATTTATGTTCATGTGTATCTATCTTTTTTTCATTTGTTCCTGTACAATGGAGCATGTATAGATTCACCTACCTCAGCTTCACAAAACAAAGCAGGCCATCTCTCTTTGAAGTCACCAGCAGCAGGACTACCAGTCACAACCTCGAGCCTTCGATAAGAGAACGTTTTGGTCATTTTTTCTTGAATCACCTTGTGGTTGTTTTTCTTCTTCACCTCGTTGAGAAGCTCCTCCCTCTCCATCTCCAAACTGTCGCTAGTTTCCCCACTTGGAAAAATTACATTAAACTCCTATTAGACTCCACTGGCTCACTGCTGTACTGCTCTGCTTCCTGTTGATAGACAGATATGTAAATAAGACGATGAACTTCGTGAATATAACATTTCCACTTAATTAGACGAAAACCTTCTTAATCGAAGAAAAAAAAAAAAAAATGGTGGAAACAGTATGTGTATATTTTACTAAAGTCAAAGTAGCAATACCACAGTGTATATTTATAACAGAGTATTTTTTACGAAGTAAAAGTCATGCATTCACAACCTTACTTAAGTAAAAATTCAAAAGTATTAGTATCAAAATAAACTTAAAGTAAAAAGTACTCATTATGCAGAATGGCTCATTTGACAATAATATGTATTATATCACTGGATTATAATTAGTGATGCACTCACTCACAGGTCTCAAACTGCAGAGAAAATACTTTCACTTACTGTAAAAAAAAAAAACAACAACAATATAATAAGACATTTTAAGCCGTGTGTGTGTTTACTGTGAATTAGCTTCATTTGGGTTTGCTTGGTCCGTGTACGCTTCGTTCATTTATTGATGGCAGAAATGAGAAAACAGCGGTAGCGCTGGGTCTAACCCTGTAACAGCAGCAACATAAGTTTGCTGGTCCGGCCGCCTGGCTCCGTCTCCCGGCGGTGGGGAGGAAGAGCCAAGGGTGCTAGTCGTTTTCTCGTGTCTGCCATTACGTTAATACATTAAACTACTTTCAAAACGCACAGGACAAGCCCTCTGGCCAACTCGACTTCTTCGTCCTCTCATGTTGGGGCAGACTGGCGCTACAGTGACTCACTATCGCCTCTCGAGTAAGAAGTGGTACTACAAAGCAGGACATGCCAGGGCTAGTCAGTTAGCATGCTAATTTCAGTAGCTATATATAACACAATAGATTGGCGTCTTTGACATAATGCAAGCACTGTAACCTCTCCGGTTTCTGTACATATTTTTTTGAATGTTTACAAAAATCCATTGTAACCATAACCTGAAGAGGATGACAAAAGCTAATTTTGGAAAACTGCGGCTAATGCTAACTCAGCTAACATTACTTTCCCTCTCCTCTGCTTTTGACAATGCTATTCCAACTGTTATGCCCTTAGTTTTATAGACGTGAAATACAACGTGGAACCTTCTTTAGATGCATGAGTGTTTTTTTTTTAATTATCTGGTAAATTACAGTTAAGGTTAGCTAGCTAACAGCACGTAACTTTATGTAAAACATAATCACTCAACTTTGTGAACTAATGCACAGAAACGTTAACATGGTTCAAGCAAACAAGAATCAGGCTATTATGCACAAAGACACATATATTATCATAAGTCTTAAACAGAGAGACAATAACTTACCAACACTTGTTTTTCCAGCCATGTAGCTCCTCCGACAGCCTTCAAAGTGCAAACCCAACTGAACCGTCGTCCAAAATCGCGGGTATCTTGTCTTGTCAAGACGCATGCGCGGATTCAAACAGCTACTATGGTTTTAGATATGTTTTAGATTAACATTTACTTAGTATTTTAAGGTTTATGAGCAGTGACTATAAATCATTTAAATAGTATGAGTAGGCCTACATATAATAAAACGTACTCCTCCTCCCACACTGTAAATGTATTACATGAATAAAAGGTGTATACATTTAAAATGTTACTTAAGAAATTCTAGTTCTTTGTGAATCTTGATATTACCATGTAAAAAGTACGACCGTTAATTAAATATATTTTACTACACCAAAAAGTCAGTTTTTTTTTAGTGTAGTTTATGTAGTTTTAAACACCTCAAGTTCATGTCAAATGTCCCCTCTATTATAGCCTATTATAGTTATATTGTATAACATTTATTCAAAAGTATAGCGTTATCTGCACTTATATTAGTCAGTATAGGCCTATAGCTTTGGAGATCGTTCTCAGTTGATTGACTGGCTATTTTTATTTTTAAGATATTAAAATTAATTTGTTTTCATATTGAGCAGACGAGCGCGTTTTTTATTGATGGCTTGTTATACACATGTCGTGGCTTCCTTCCTTGTCTTTCCATCAAGCCACTATACGCCTTAAACAGACAGTTCTAACTCGTTTTTTTCCTTTAAATTACTCACAGTTTGAAGTGTTGCTTGGCCTCCGATAGGGATGATGTTGCGATGTGTTTGCTCAAAATAAAATAACAAACTTTTGCACATGCAACAGATAAAATAGGCCTTTAAAATATTCAAAATAAATAGGCAAAACTCAAATAAAATAAGAAACTACTTAAGCATTATTTATTTGTTGATAATGCTTATATAACTTCATAATTTAAACGGTGTACGATTTGTACGTGAACGTGTACGGTTAAAAACTGTTCCTCGACGGCGTCTCTCTCTCAAGAGATATAGCCCATCACTGTGGCTTTTAGCACAGGCGCCGTGGGAAATGTAGTCCTTTATAGTGCGTTGACAACAGACGTCACAATTAGGTGGCATTTCTTATAAAATCAAAATACTGACTCTTAACACACATGTTCTCATAATAGCCTATACATCAATAAATATATTTTTATAAAAATAATTTACATCATTATTCTCACATGGTTGCATTACTTGTATCTGCATGAAAGGACTTGTGCTTGCAATGGCTGTTTTTAGACTTTAATAATTGCATTGCCCTGGACAGCGACTTTTTTGGTTTCAGATTTCCCCCCTCCATTCCTTTATTTGTACATTGTTTGATTATGTGAGTATTGATTTCAATCAAATCTATTTGTTTTATATTTACAATTGATTTCAGATGGCTTGTTTATGTTTTCTGGAACATATTGATAAAGAGTCAAACAAAAGAGAGATATCTTGACCATAAAACTGTTTTTATGTGGCCATTTATGTAAGTATTGTTACCTCATTTCAAATCAAACATTTCCAATAAGTCTGCTGGGCAGATTGGTTGATGTTGATTTGCTGCAGTTTTCCATGGTGGACTCTTAGGGCCGCTGTTGACCAGAGTGTGCACGGCTGAGAGTAGGTCTGCAGCACCTCCCATGTAACATCATCATAAAGAAGAGAGAACACGACGGCAAGACAACTGACTCGGGATGTGTTGAATATCAAAAAACTCACGACGATATTTGAGACTTTTCTATTTACTGTGTGGAGTATTTAGCTTTGAAATTGTCGTTCGACATCGGAGTGGATTAACATTGGTTGGACATTTACCCAGACTGTGGAATTTTGCTGAAAAAAACCAAGGATTGAACAATGAAAGGACAAGCGCGGTTGTTCATCTCCCTCCTTTCGCTCGGCTCGGTTATCGGGCAGGTGAGCTATACAATACCGGAGGAAATGGCAAAAGGCTCTTTAGTAGGCAACATAGTAAAAGATTTAGGTTTGGAAAGCACACGTTTGACTTCTGGTAAAGCTCGAATTTATACCCGAGACAGCGATGAGTACATTGAGCTGAACAGAGAAAGAGGAGTCCTCCTCGTCAAACAGAGAATAGACAGAGAGGCTCTCTGCAGACAGACGACGCCTTGTGCTTTACATTTTCAGATTATTTTGGAGAATCCTATGGAGTTTTACAGTGTGACAGTCCAGATTACAGATGTCAATGATAATGCACCCACCTTTGAAGAAAGGGAAATCCAATTCAAAATTAGCGAGTCAGCAATCACCGGAGCAAAATTTGTGCTGGAAAGAGCTGTTGATCTTGATGTTGGACTTAATGATCTTCAAAGATACGAATTAAAACCAACTGATAATTTTGCTCTGAAACTCTACAATAACGCAGATGGGAATAAACACGTCGAGATGGTGCTACAGAAGCCTTTAGATAGAGAGAAACAAGAGCAGATATTTCTTGTGTTAACGGCTGTAGACGGAGGAGAGCCGCAGCTGTCAGGAACAATGCTGATTGTTATTACAGTTTTAGACGCTAATGATAATGCCCCCGTTTTTACACAGCCCACATACAAGTCTGCAGTTACGGAAAACTCACCTAAAGGCACAGTTGTTGCCACTGTCACAGCTTCAGATGCAGATCACGGTTCTAATGGTAAAATAGCTTATTCAATTACAAATACGTTAGACGATGTCAGAATTTTTTTTAATATAAACAAAGAAACTGGAGATGTTACTTTAATTGGGAATATCGATTTTGAAGAATCGCGAGATTTTCAAATAAATATACGTGCTAGTGACGAGGGAGGACTCACCGATTCTTGTAAATTAGTTGTCGATGTGCAAGATGTAAATGACAATAAGCCAGAAATTAACATAATGTCGAAGTCAAATGTGATATCGGAGGATGCCAAACTCGACACAGTCGTTACAATGATAAATATTGACGACAAAGACACTGGAGAAAACGGAAAAGTGCAATGTTTTATAAACGAAAATATACCATTCACTTTAAAAACGACCACCAATGATTTTTATAGATTAGTTACAGATAGTGAGTTAGACAGAGAGAGATCCTATGAGTATAATATAACAGTGACCTGCTCTGATGAGGGTGTGCCCACCCTCTCCAGCAGCGTCACTCTCAGTTTACATATCTCTGATGTGAATGACAACGCGCCTGTCTTTGAGAGCAGCTCATATGAGGGCTACATTGTAGAAAACAACACACCAGGCCTCTCTGTATTCACAGTGAGAGCCAGAGACGCTGACTGGAACCAGAATGCCCGTGTTTCTTACATCCTGGAGGACTCCTCTGTTAACGGAGTGCCAGTCTCCTCTTATGTGTCCATTAGTGCTGATAGTGGAGTCATCCATGCAGTGCGCTCTTTTGACTATGAGCAGATCAAAGACTTCCACTTCCGGATCAAAGCTCAGGATGGAGGCTCTCCTCCACTCAGTAGCAACGTGACTGTGAAAATACTGATCCAGGACCAGAACGACAACCCTCCTCAGGTCCTGTACCCAGTCCAGACTGGTGGCTCTCTGGTGGCTGAGATGGTGCCTCGTTCAGCAGATGTGGGCTATCTGGTCACTAAAGTGGTGGCTGTTGATGTGGACTCTGGACAGAATGCCTGGCTCTCCTATAAACTGCAGAAAGCCACAGACAGGGCGCTGTTTGAAGTGGGCTTACAGAATGGAGAAATAAGGACTATCCGCCAGGTGACTGATAAAGATGCTGTGAAACAAAGACTGTCTGTTATAGTGGAGGACAACGGGCAGCCCTCTCGTTCAGCTACAGTCATTGTTAACGTGGTGGTGGCTGACAGCTTCCCGGAAGTGCTGTCTGAGTTCACTGACTTTACACAGGACAAGGAGTACAATGACAACCTGACTTTTTACTTAGTGCTGGCTCTGGCTGTAGTGTCCTTCCTCTTCATCACGTGTTTAGTGGTTATTATATCAGTGAAGATCTACAGGTGGAGACAGTCTCGCATCATGTTTCACTCCAATCTCCCTGTGATTCCTTATTATCCTCCACGTTACTCAGACACTTTGGGGACAGGGACTCTCCAACACGTGTACAACTACGAGGTGTGCAGGACGACTGACTCCAGAAAGAGTGACTGTAAGTTTGGCGGAGCCGGTAGCCAGAACGTGCTGATAATGGACCCCAGTTCTACAGGGACGATGCAGCGGATACAGAGTGAAAAGAGCATCCTGGATGAACCTGACTCTCCTCTAGAGGTTAGAAATGGTACCATAATAATTCCCCTTTTAAGAACTTCACAATCATTGTATTGCATGCATTGCATTTACTTGATTGCTCTCTGTAGCATCTCAAAAGAGAAAGTTAAGTTATTATTATTATTATTATTATTATTGT